AAGTTTAAATTAACTGAATTCAGCTCCCTTGTCTTAGTCCACTTGAGATCCTCTTTTTTGTGCTCAGCTTAAAAGGCCAGCAAGGAAACCCCCCCCTTTTTTATGCGAATGTTTACCTTGCTCCTGCTTTAAAAAACTGTGTGGAATCCCTAAAAAGCATTTCCCCCTTTTTTTTTTTGCCCCGAGGAGGCTGGGATGAGGCAGCCCCTTCTTGGTGGATGTTTTACAAAGCGTACAAAGTTTTAAGGACGTTTTGAGGCTGGTCTTGTAAAGCAGGTATTAGAACAAGCTGATAGCTAGAAGGCTGCCTTACATCATTTTAAGTATTTTTCAAAATGCCTATCCGAGGCAGCTCCAGGGACCTGGAATCTTTGTGGCCTTGCAGCCTCCAAAAAGCATAAGAAAGAGCAGTCCTTTCCACACATGCTCTGCCCCACCTGATCTCTCTCATCTTCCACTGAGTTTTTCCTATTCAAAACTCTACATTTGTCCCTGTTGGACTTCATTTTGCTGGTTTCTTCCATTTTGGTTCATTAAGATCTTCTTGAATCACAATTCTGTTTCCATTATTTTGTACTGTGAAGAAATAATCCTATTTTCTCCTCCCTCTTCCAGGTCATTTATAACTTATGTTCAGCATTGCTGTGGCCATGAGCTCCGCAGAGGAGAAGGAGCATTCTTGGATTGGGACCCGCCAACTCCATTCTAGAGAATTTGGAAATCAAGGCCTAGTTGGAGAAGCAGCTTCCTGCACAAAGGACCAATCGGTCAGACTCGATCAGACCGGTCAGTGGTGAGGATCATATCTGGCCTTGATTCAGAGCGGTAACGAGTGACCCAGAGACCTCTTAGCTGCAACTTTAAAAGTGAGTAAACATATAATAATAATAATAATAAAGTTGGAAGGGACCTTGGAGGTCATCTAGTCCAACCCCCTGCTCTTTCATTTTCTATCTTTCATTTCACTTTGGGGAAGCTCTCTGTAGTTTTATTTTCTCTGATCAGCCAAAGTCCTTTTACGAGTGGCTGGGCTGTTGCGCCTGCAGAAGGATGAAATGCCAAATCTGAGCCGTTTCCTCTTCCTCCTTTCCTGTCTGATCTTCTGGGGTTGAGTCTCTTTTCCGGTGCTCTGACTGAAGTCCTCTTTCCAATACACAAATACACACACACACACAGTGTTTTGGTTGGACCTGATTGTGCTTAGACTCGAGAAAGAGTACAGAGAAGAGCAACAAAGATCATTAGGGGATTGGAGGCCAAAGCATATAAGGAACGATTGCTGGAATTGGGTATGTCTAGTTTAATGAAGAGAAGGATGAGGGGGGACATGATAGCAGTGTTCCAGTATCTCAGGGGCTGCCCCAAAGAAGAAGGAGTCAAGCTATTCTCCAGAGCACCTGAAGGCAGGACAAGAAGCAACGGGTGGAAACTAATCAAGGAGAGAAGCAACCTAGAACTAAGGATAAACTTCCTGACAGTTAGAACAATTAACCAGTGGAACAACCTGCCTCCAGAAGCAGTGAATGCTCCAACACTGGAAGTTTTTAAGAAGAGACTGGACAGCCATTTGTCCGAAATGGTATAGGGTTTCCTGCCTGAGCAGGGGATTGGACTAGATGACCTCCAAGGTCCCTTCCAACTTTATTATTATTATTGTCGTTGTTTTTGTTGTTGTTGTAACAGACAATCAGCCTAGTGTGATCCAGGGATTCAGTTGGCCTCTCTCCCATCCGGGTAGGAAATATAAAGGAATGACCTCAGTTCAGACAGTCCTGTGTCTTGTGCCAATCCAAGGGTTGTGGAATAAGCCAGGTGTGGCCCCATAGGGAAACTTTTACCTGGGAAACCGGTGGCTGCTCCGTCCCCTTGCCTTCTTGCTAATGGCAGGTGTGGCACTTCCTGCTGAAGAAGCATAGGTTTGTCTCGGGCAGCAGAGGGGAGGCCATGGAGCCCCAGCCCAGGCCACGTTCAGTCTGAGGGGATCCTGAAGAAACTTAGAAATCCTTTGGGAAATGTTGTTGGGTTGTTTTTTGGTAAATTTTTATTGATTTTCTAATATTACATTTAAATATTTGAAAGCAAACGTGGCGGCTGGGTAAATAATTCTATTACACATAGATACCATTAGTACAGATCTCAAGCTGTTATAATCCCCATTCCCTCTCTTTCTCCCTTAATATCTACTGTCTCATATTTTAACTAATGCAATTATCAATTTTTAGTTAACCTATATCTTAGTTGTTTTAACTTTCTGTCTTTAGACAATCAATGACCGAATCAATTTTTCTCAATTTTGATTTTTCATTGGTATTTAAATTTAATGTTTAATAATTATCATTTCCACACTTTAAAGGACCCCAATTCCTTTATCACCATTCCTCCCAAAGTCTAATATTCAGAATACACATCTTATTTATACAGGTTCTCACCATCTACATCAGTGGTGGCGAACCTATGGCATGTATGCCAGAGGCGGCACTCAGAGCCCTCTCTGTGGACACGCGCGCCGTCGCCCCAGTCCTAGGCCTTCAACTGGGTTTTATAAAACCTTTTCACTTTAGGCCTCTGCCGCCGTGTACAAAAAAAAAAAAAGGTTCAATCAATCAGTCAATTTCAACTTCTCATGGGAAAAAAAAGATCTTGCAAAGTTGGAATTCATTGATTGAACTTTTTAGTCCCACCCAGTCTGCTGTTACCACCGTAGCCACGCCCACCCAATGGGCCACACCCACCCAATGGGCCACACTCATCCAATGGGCCACACCCACCTGGCACCCGACAATGCGTAAGTGGGTTTTGGGTTGCAGTTTGGGCACTCGGTCTCTAAAAGGTTCGCCATCACTGATCTACATCAACAAGTTAATAATGCAATAATATTGTTCTTATTTTTTGATAATTCTCAGGTACTTTAATATCTTAAATTTATTAACCAAAATTTCTCTTATTTCCACATCTAATACTTCCTCTCTCTTCCTCTTTATATCTACTATCTCATATTTAGAATTAATAAAAAAAATTTCCCCTTGCTGCTACATAGACATATTTATTACTTTCATCAATAAGGTTTTAACTTGTATATATCTTAATCATCTTTATATAATCTTTATGCGCAAGTCAATATTCCAATTAACCTATTAATATTTTAACTTCTGAGTTTTACATGACCAAAATTTTCTTTCTCTCAACTGATAACAACATCTTATATTCAAAATACACGTCTCATCCATTTGAGTATATTCTATTTTAAAACATACAGGCATCTTTATTGCATTCATCAGTGAAGTTTTAGCTTATATGTGTCTTAATCACCTTTACAAAACCTTTATACACAAATCAACATTCAAATTTAATTGCTAGTGTTTTATATTTCTAAATTTTACTTGATCAAAGTTTTCTTTATCTCAACTCATCACAACTCATCTTTTGGGAGATGTTGCTTAGATAAGGTATGGAAGATGCGGCTTGGAAAATGGCGCAAGGCTGTAAAGGCCATTGATCTGGGGCTGGAGGTCGCATTTCTCACTGGCAGTGGTGGAGCTGGGCTGGGGTCAGTGCAGCTGGCTGAAATGGCTGAAGTCCCCCCCCGTGTCCACATAAGGGCCAGCTCTAGCCCCAGTACTGCGGTCAGTCAGGGCTTCTTTGCGTGGCCAGGCTGAGGCGGCTCAAGCTTCCGGGGGGGGGGCTACATCTTTGCCTCCCCCTTCAGCAGACCCGAAGTCATAGGTGGCCTGTGCCAGGTCCCCAGGACCTCCCCCCACCCCGGAGCACCCCCAGAGCCTTTGCCAGGACTGCCCTCCACTTAGCAATCTCAGGATCACTTAATGGGCACAATCAGGAGTGTGCATTAAGGTCCTTAATAATAATAATAATAATAATAATAATAATAATAATAATAATAATAATAATAATAATAATAATAATAATAATAATAATAAAGTTGGAAGGGACCTTGGAGGTCATCTAGTCCAACCCCCTGCTCAGGCAGGAAGCCCTATACCATTTCGGACAAATGGCTGTCCAGTTTCTTTTTAAAAACTTCCAGTGTTGGAGCATTCACCGCTTCTGGAGGCAGGTTGTTCCACTGGTTAATTGTTCTAACTGTCAGGAAGTTTCTCCTTAGTTCTAGGTTGCTTCTCTCCTGGATTAATTTCCATCCATTGCTTCTTGTCCTGCCCTCAGGCACTTTGGAGAATAGCTTGACTCCCTCTTCTTTGGGGCAGCCCCTGAGATATTGGAACACTGCTATCGTGTCCCCCCTCGTCCTTCTCTTCGTCAAACTAGACATACCCAATTCCAGCAACCGTTCCTTTTATGTTTTAGCCTCCAGTCCTCTAATCATCTTTGTTGCTCTTCTCTGCACTCTTTCTAGAGTCTCAACATCTTTTTTATATCGTGGTGACCAAAACTGGATGCAGTATTCCAAGTGTGGCCTTACCAAGGCATTGTAAAGTGGTATTAATACTTCACGTGATCTTGATTCTAACCCTCTGTTAATGCAGCCTAGCACTGTGTTGGCTTTTTTGGCAGCTGCAGCACACTGCTGGCTCATATTTAGGTGATTGTCCACTAGGACTCCGAGATCCCTCTCACAGTTACTACTGTTGAGCAAGTGGTCTCTCACCTCACTTAGTAGCTGCTTCATTGAACGACCCAGATTACAGTTCCAATTGTGGTCATAAGTAGAGGACTACCTCTACTTTCAGACCTTCTTCCCCTTGTCTTAGGACAAGAAACAAGCAGGGAAGATTAGAGTCGATGAACAGCAGAAGAGTTTTGCTTCCTAGAGATGTCAGGGCTCCATCTTGGGTGTACTGTGTGCCCATGTCCTGGTCAGAGGGCGGGACTGGAAGATCTTTATGGTCCCTTTCAAGTCTAAGAGGAAATACTATTCTCACCTTCTTTTGCATTCCACCAGCAGGAAAAGTGTCCAAAGATTCACCTGTAAGCCAACTATCAACACATCGTAGAAAATCAGCACAAGGTAGCAGCTGCCAGAAAGAATGGAGTCTGGGAAGCTCTTGAATCCCCCGTCAGACACAATCAGCACTCCAAAAAACCACCAAAGAAGCCATCAATGCTCAGAGTGTGGGAAAGCCTTTGCTTGCTGCTCCCTCCTTTTGACCCACAGGAAGGTCCATGTGGGAAGTGGATCCAGTCAAGGTTTGGAGGGTGAGAAATCCTTCTCTGGGAAAAAACCCAAAGATCTTAGAAGCCCCCCCAGACTAAAACCCTATAAATGTGATGAATGTGACTTATTCTTTCATCGAAAGTCACACCTTCTTACACATCAGAAAATCCACACTGGAGAGAAACCTTATCAGTGTCTGGAATGTGGGAATTTTTTCCGTGAAAAAACCACCCTCAGAGACCACGAGAGGCTTCACACAGGGGAGAAACCTTACACGTGTTGGGAATGTGGGAAGAGGTTTTCTTGGAAGGCAGGTCTTTGGGCCCATGAGAAGATTCATGCAGGAATAAAATCTTACAAATGCTTTGAGTGTGGGAAATGTTTCACCCAGAGTTCATCCCTTCGGAATCATTGGAAAATACACAGAGGGGAGAAAAACGAAAAGTGCCTCGAATGCGGGAAGTGTTTTATCTTGAAATCGGGCCTGGTGCAACATCAGAGAAGTCACAAAAGAGAGAAACCCTATGAATGCCCAGAATGCGAGAGACGATTTGTTAATTCTTATGGGCTTCGGAGACACCAGAAGAGGCACAATGGGGAGCTACCCTATCAGTGTGGGGAGTGTGGGAAAAGTTTTGTTGCACAAAGTGAAGTTCAGATTCATGAACGAATCCACACAGGGGAGAAGCCGTACAAATGTGGGGAGTGTGGAAAGTGCTTTACCCTAAAACACCACCTTGGAAGCCATCAGAGGGTCCACACTGGAGAGAAGCCGTACAAATGCATAGAATGTGGGAAATCTTTTGCTCGAAAAGGATACCTTTGGATACATCATAAAACGCATAGTGGGGAAAAGTCATATCAATGCAACGAATGTGGAAAATTTTATAGTACCACATCATCCCTTAGAGAGCATATAAAACGTCACACAGGAGAAAAAAATTACAAATGTTTAGACTGTGGGAGAGCATTTGCTTGGCCAACTCTCCTCAGAAACCACAGCCGAATCCATACAGGAGAGAAGCCCCATAAATGTTCGGAGTGCGATAAATGTTTTTCTCAAAAAAGTACTCTTTTGAAGCATCAGCAAATCCACACTGGAGAAAAAACAAATGTTTAGAGCAGTGGTTCTCAACCTGTGGGTCGGGACCCCATTTGGGGCCGATCGACCATTTCATGGGGGTTGCCAAGCAAGGCTGTCCGCCATTTTTTTTGTCCGCCATTTTTTCCCCTTTTCCGGCGGGTGCCTTACCTCCCTTGGGCTGGGCCAGCTGGTGGTCGGCCTGCTCCGTCTCTGCCGCTTGCCAGCTATGCCTCGGCCGGTGCAGGGGGCGGAACCACGCATGCGTGGTGCTCCCGGGCAGGGAAAGTCCTCGACTTACGACCAGTTGGGTAGTCCTCGACTTACGACTGGTTTAGTCCTCGACTTACGACTGGTTTAGTCCTCGACTTACGACCAGTTGGGGTCGCGGCATTAAAAAGGTTGAGAACCACTGGTTTAGAGAGTGGAGAATGTTTTGCCCAACCTTCAGCACTTCGCGCATACACCCAAAATCACGCAGGAGAGTGGCCTTATAAGTGTGCAGAGTGTGAAAAAACTTTTCATTTTAAATCACAGCTAAAAATGCATCAGAAAGTCCATAGCAGAGATAAATCTTTTCAGTTGTGAACAATGCGGGAAAATATATATTTTTTTTTTCAAAAGTCGCACCTTACCATACATCGGTAGTTTCACACAGTGACAGAAAGGAAATCCTACAATTGGTGTGGGGAAAATGTTTTTCCTATTTAAGTAACCTTAAATACCATCTGAGAATACATAATCAATCCAAAGTGTATAAATGTTGGAGGTTAAGAATCTTTACTCACGATCTGAGACTTCCGGTGGCAGGCTACTCCGTTGGACGCAGCTGTTGCTGCCTCCCGCCTGTTTCTGCGTAAAAGCCGTTTTGACAGCTTGCATCTGCTGTCAAACGGCTTGAAACCTTTCCCCTGGGCATAGGGGGATGGGTGAGCTGCCCGGGGTAGGAGTTGAGTTCCCGAGTCGTCCCAGGTGGACGATGTAGGTGAG